CAACAATAGTAGATGTCGTGAATACTTAGGCCGGAATCTTTGATGTAGTCCAAGATTGTCTAGGAAGGCTCAGTAGTATTCTTTTCCTTTATGACTTGTAAAGTGTTCACAAGGTGCTATTCATATTATCGATAAAAGGTACAATAGTTGGCAGGTGGCCTACTCTACTAGAGAGGAGGTGAGATCTGTGAACTAAAGAAGGCTTCGTGGGTGTACTGAGAAACAACCAGGTAACCCTTCAACAAAGTATATTGAAATACTATTTGTCGAAGTCTGCTGTTTCCATCGTAGAAACTGGTAGTCTTTAAATATACAAATCTGTTCATGTCTAGCATAAATGAAACTCTTCAAAGGTATCAAATGATATACTTTGGTAAAACAACTTAAGTATCGAAATGATACTTAAAACAAAACATAAAACAAAACTAAGTATTAAATGATACATAAAACAAACTAAGTATCAAAGTGATACTTAAAATAAAATATAAAACAAAATTAAGTATCAAATGATACTTAAAACAAACTAAGTATCAAAGTAATACTTAAAACAAAGCATAAAACAAAACTAAGTATCAAATGATACTTAAAACAAACCAAGTATTAATGCGATACTTAAAATAAAATATAAAACAAAAACTAACTAACCGAGTACCTGTACCGGTTACATGACTACTAAGAACTCGCTAAGACAATAAAAATATTGTGATAAAGATTTGTAGGTATGACAATTATTATAGTGTTAAGATTTCTTCTCTATTGCTTGATGATGTCTGTAAAGCTTGTAAGACACTTTTATATTTATATCCTGAGTCTGAGTATTTGCAGGCTACTTCTAACTACTATACAACTAAATACCTTTTTCTAGTTTGTGCGTAATAGTCTTTGGTCTTAATAAGCGTGAACACTGTTTGACCCCGAATTCTTTCATACCATCTTTGTACTCATTAATAATAAAATCTTCATTATCAGTAGATGCACTTTTATCTTCCAACTGATAGTCTTCAATTGATAGAGTTGAATAGACATCTTTCTTAAACTTTAGCCTATTTAACTATCATTCCAATAGTCTCTTCCAAATACACCAAGTAGCTAGCTAATTTGTTGAACACCTATGCATAATGCTGGCTCAATAGACAGCATGCCAATACCATATGTCTACTGCCTATAAGGTCTTCTGAGTCTGAGCAGCTTTTCCTCAGTTTGCCTCACCTTTAAGAGAACCATCTCTCAAGAGATCCTGTCTCCAGGGTCAACCAACATACCACAGCCTTCAGATAGGTATTAGTGTTATCTCTTTCTCCTATGGCTTCTGGTAAACTGTAGGAATAGTTATGGATTATTGTAACAAAATGTCCCATTACTTTCAGCCCATAATTGGGATACTCAGCTTTGAAGCCTAGTAACTCAATACACCTCCAACAGATTTCCTCTGTTCCACTTCTCAGAGATACTCAAATGTACCCAGAAGTACCATCTTGTATATCCTGTGAACAGCTTCTGGTTGGATAGATGGTAGTGACATATATGGCATTGTAAAGTGAGATTTTTATTGAAATAACATTATAGTCATGGGACATAACTGTTCAAAATCTTGCTAAGAATGTGTAGGCCTTATAAGGGGGCTGGAAGGGGGTGTTGACAGCTCCGATAAATGAGGGTCTGCGTACTCTCATATGTCTAACAAAAGCACTCTGACCCAGTTATCATAAGTCCACCTCCAGCATTCACTACACCATACAATCCGAATTGGATGATTGGCAGGTTGTATGGCAAATTTCTACCATCATACATGGTGATGATAACTCATGGACTACTAGCATCATGCTTTTTACAGTCAGTGTACTGCAAGTACAACTCACCTCCAGAACAATCTCTTCCTAGCTAAGCCGTCTTATTTACATATCATACATTATAAATGCTTCTAATTACGTGTTTCTCCATATTATTAAAATTAGGTGAACAACTGGAGCAGTGAGTATTAGATGGGGTTCAATTCTCCTTTGCTTATTTGTATATCTATAAATATAAAAGTTAGTATTCATTTAATTCAATAAGCAGACTCTGATATTTACCTGTTGATATGTGCCTGGATAAATATTTAAATGTTGACCAATTCACGTCCATGTCCATTCCATATTATCTCTCAAAGTAGTAACCTTGAGATGCTCATCTCAAGTTACTTCATGATGGTAAGCACCTTCTTGGTTGTGCTTACGAGTTCTCTTTTGCTTTATGGTTCCAGCAGTATACGATTGTATTGGAATAATATAGAATCGAGGGGTATGTTGATATGTTACAAGTATGCAGTAGAAACTTTCTTCTTAGGATGTTAGTGGAATTGTTGATCGGGTGTGAAGGACTAGTGTAATGAGACCCCAAATACCCTTACACCTGGGTACTTGTACATACCAGTATGATATTATACCAGCTGGCAAAAAGAACGTGGTACTATATCAGTACTCGAGAAACATACTTGCTCTCTTAGAAAAACTGATAGTTGGGTTCCTACTACAATACGGTACCCCTTTATTGATATGATAAATTGCAATATTATTGTTCAAAATAATTGATACATGTGGGTACTATGGTTACGGTACAGTTGTGTCTGAGAAGTCTACATACCCCTCTTGGCAACGCCATAACCATTGATTACCTCGACACCACCCCCTCCACCATGGCGCTACCACATTTTTAAACCCCTAGAGAAGCCTAGAAATGGGAAATCTATGCCATATATAAACATAGTGATATGGGGTATGGTAAAATTTCAAAGCTTATGAACCTCACCAAGTCAACTATTTCAACAGTAGTCAAAAATACAAAATCCAGAGATGGAAACACCATTGATGCCCCCAGATCTGACAGCTCAACCAAGATTACTGATGCCAAAAGGCAAGTAATTCTTGATATTATTGATGCTGAGCCTCATTTAGCATTAAGAGACATTACCCACAAAGCCAATATTGGTTTTGGAAAAGATACTGTTAGCAAGATATCTAAAGAAGCTGATTTTAAGCTTAAGATACCTAGAAAAAGGCCTTTTTAGAGAAAAGAACAGAAAAGAGTTTGCTAGGATCAGGAGGAACTGGACAAGAGCTTGGATATGGGTTGTTTTTGTGGAGGAGGCTATAATTGAATATGATTCAAATCCAGTGGGAAGGAAGATCAGTCTTAGACCAGGTGAAGAGTTGGAAGAAAAGAACTTAAAGTCTAGCTTTAAGTCAGGATGCACCAATATAGGTGTATATGCTGCAATGATGCATGGAGGGAGAACTGAGCTGATTCTTGTAAGGAAGAGGAGTAAGGAGGAAAGGACCAGGAAGAGAGACAGGCTTGGTCTCAATGTCCACCAATATTCAACTGAGATCCACTAGCCATACCTTATCCCCTTTATAGAAGGGATAAATAGGACTTCTGAAATCATCTATATGGTTGCTGATAATGCATCATAGCACAATGGAGCAGAAAACAAAAAATTGCAGAAGGACTGTGGATATCAGTGATTGGCTTGGCCTCCCAACTCACCAGATCTCAACCCTATTGAGAATGCCTGGGCAATTCTCAAAAAAGACCTCAAAAAGCGATTCTCCAAGGTTGAGAGAAGGTCCCATAGTGCTGCTAAGTTATTTCAAGCAGCAAAGGAAGAGTGGGACCTCATTCCCCAAGGGACATTTGATGAGTGGATTTAGAGAATGCCTGAGAGAATTCAGGCTGTATTGGATGCAGATGGAAGCCATACAAAATGGTAGCATTAGGAAACTGTTATTTTCTATTTCCACTTTCATCTATTTTCAAATTGTACTCATATGATTTTTTTGGTGTAGTTAATATCATTATTTGTGGTGGCAGTGCTGTTGCCATGAGGGATACGTAGACTTTTTAGACACGACTGTACTGGTAGTGGGGGCAGGAATACAGTTACCGTAGCAAGCATTATTATGCAGTACTCGTAACTGGTATAATATAAGAGTGGAGGAAATGAGAATATTGGTATACTGTACTGTACTGTACTCGAGTACAACAGTAACTGGAAAACTCGGGCAAGGCAACTCCCGCTCAGCTAGATAAATAAATAACATTATAATAATATTATTATATAAAAAAGTACGGTATCATACCTGGGTTAAAAAAAAAAAAAAGTATTGATGAAATACCCCCCTTTTTTGCACCCGCGATTAAGGTGCTCCAATCACTTCCATATTCATTGTATGATGGTTTTCACAAGGAACTGTATAATATCACCACTTGTGAAGTTAATTTCATATATGGGATTGAGTTTTTAGTCTTCAAAGTCGACACTATCATACCGTACTCTACCAGTTGCAATGGAAATTTTGTTGACACTGTATAACTTTTTCCATATTCCCACCAGGCTGACTAAAAAAAACAACGGGCCTAAAGTGACTCAGTGACCAGATGCAAGAAGTCGGTTTGGAGGAAAACAATAATAATAATAGTACAATGTATCGTAGGTCATGAACTGTGTGGGTATGGTAGTTGAATCCGGCTTCCTTTGGTATGAAAAGCTCTTTCCACCAAGACCTTTTGCCACAATACTATCATAAGAGAGAAAGAAGGACATCAATTCAAACAACTCCAACTAGCCGAAATAACCACTTCTCACCATAGCTTCCAGCACCTTAGGAACTAGCAACGGAGCTGCGAGTCCACAACCTATACTTACGATAGTCTCTCGGTTTCGTTCGTATCATACGTGGAAAGGGAAGCGTTATATGGTGTTGCCACACGATAGCAAGCAAGCAAGCAAGCAAGAACACAGCCAGATGGTTAATTACTTATCACAAGAAATCACTCGTGGCGCCGCTCCGGTCCCGGTCCCGGATGATTGTCTCGTTTTTTATGAGAATAGTAGTGCCCGTACTGATGCTGTAGGTACGGTATCATATTCGGGACGAATCAATCACGTTTTCTATTTGCCGTGTCATGGCGCGATTTATCGTAAAGGCGACTGCCTGCCTGCTTCTCTGCCCTCATCGTCGCCATTTACCACAAGGGCCAACCGAACCCCTACCCCCCCCACCAAGTCGATCAAGAAATCCTTTAGATATATACACACATGCAAGAAGAAAACATGCAAGAAAGCAAGCAAAAAAGTAGAAACTAAAAAATAAAAAATAAACTTCTTCCCAGCGTTATTTGGCGGTGCGGGTATGATATACGCCAACTCATGCTCTTGAATAAGGAAGGAGATTCAAGGTGGTGACGAGTGATCCTTATGTTGTTTTTCCCTTAGTTTCGTACATCAGTTTGCGTTGCCCCATCCAAACTGCCCCAATCCAAGAGGAAAGAAAGAGAAAAAGAGGAAAAAATAGAATATAAGCTAACGCTATACCAAAACTCAAGAAAACAGAATCAGAAAAAGAGAGAGAAAAATCTGTAGTAGTTATAAAAAGTACGAGGCCGAAGCAGAACAAAGACTAAAAACTTGGAGGGGGGAAAAACATGGAGAAAACCCTGAGGAGATTCGTATAGATGGTCTCCGACGCGGTGCTCGGAGCAAAAAACAGATAAAAGACAAAACCTAAGACAGCCCGAAAATGAGAGTACCACGCGGAAAAGAGAAGGGGAAAATGATGCCAGGATACAGAGCACAAGGAGATTAGTTAGTGAGAAAACAGTAAAAATCAATTCAACGCCGGTGTTTTTTTATTTTTATTTTTTATTAGCGAATTGAATCGCAAACCCAAACCAGTCTTTATTTCGTGCTGAGGACGACGCCTACTCCTCGGGAACCGTAAAAAGACCCACTCTCATGCGGTGGCTCTATACACTAAGTTAGCAAGGTAACTCTGGGGCTAAGTGTAACTTGCATGTGCAGGGCGATAAGATGAATCTGTTCTCGGATGTGCGAAAATACCACATCTGACGATAGCAGCAAGGGGGGGCTCACGGAAGGTAGTTTAGGAATTACAACGGCCAGTACCGCCAAACAATTGATGATGAAATAAGTGAGGTCGTAATGTGTGTAATGTGTGCTCATCAAAAACCTATGGTCCAAGAAGTCAGCCCAGCCCCCCCTATAAGACAGAGCTAGTCCCGAGACATCCGGTGCTCGGACACAAGCCACGGGAAGCTGGAAGATCCCGAGAAGCCGCCGGTAAAGGGGTGAAGAATGAAGAGACAGGGCAAGGAAGAAGAAAAAAAACATACAGTACTATCGGTACCGTCAATAGAAACTTCTTCGTCGGAGTGTACTGATCGCCATTGTCGATTTGTTCCCACATGTTGAGATTATCGTATGCCCCCGCGTTGAACTCGAAAGGAATGCCTTGAACCCAATGAAACATAAGATAAGAGCCCTACGACATCCCGATATACTCGTCAGCATCTCCATTCCAGTGCAAACCACGTAGAAATATAACCTTCCAAGCTCCCGGAAGCAGTGTAAGAAGTGGAAACCGAACGGGTAAATACGCACAGCCATGTAGGAGATATTGGTCAAGGTCCAACTAGTCTCCTGTGACACCCCGGGCATGGTATCGTAGAATATCTTCAAAGCGATGATCAAGACGACATGGATCGTCCAAGCACCTGCAATAATTCCCCGTCAGCTACCCATCACCCTTTCCCCAGATCGCTTCCGCAGCTAGCCGTACCTTTACTGTTGACCCAGCTCGCATTCAAATTTGGAAGAGCAGCTTGATCAGACTGCTGCTCGATCGTCTCTGGAGGCTCGGTGTATATGAGCGAGCTTGAGCGACGTCTCCGTCCATGAGCGGCGTCCGACATGGCGCCAGGAGGGGTTGTGCGGGGAAGGAGAAGAGAAGGAATTTTGAAAGCTTGTGGTGGGGATGGCCGTATAAGGCGACTGGTTGGGTTGAGCTGAGGTGGGGAGGGGCTTAGAGATAGGGATGAGGCTGAGAGAGTGTAGAGGGAAGGAAGTCGGGTTGAGTAAGCTTGAATGGGTATGATAGCAGAGGTTGTGGGGAAGGAGGTGTACGAGAGATGCTCCGGAGGCTGAATAGAACCGGAAGATCTCAAAAAGGACACGGGTGTCGGAAGCGAAACGGAATTGATGAGAGAGCGAAGGGGGTTAAGGGCAGCAATTGTAGGGCCGGGGGATTAAAGCGAGTGTGGGTCCTTATTTTAATTTTTAACTTTTTGCCTTTTCCTTTTGCCTTTTTGGTGACAGTTCGTGCGGGGGGTGGAAGGGTAGGTCAAGGAAAGGAAAAGAAGGGGAAAAAAAGAATAGAAGGAGGAGGGAAGAAGGGTGAAAGGTCAATAATTAAAAGAGTGATTGTAGGGAGAGATGGTGGAAGGGTCAATCGAACACCAAGAGAGGTGGAAGAAGGGGAAGAGAGGGAGAGAGAGAGAAGGCGAGAAGAGGGATGATGACGCGTGAGAAGGGAAAATGTGAAGACTTGAAAGGCGGAATCGGGAAGGAAGAATCTCGGGTCGGAAAGGGTACAGAAGTATCATAAAAGAGGCACTCAAATAACGAAGGGTCAGAGAGGGAGAGGGAGCGCGATTCCGGCTCTCTTCTAGAGCATCAATTTCCGGGTCAGTTCACTCTTTTACGATGCTTTTAGAGTGAACCTGGGCCACCATCATGCTCTAAGACTGCCCGATACCGGTATGATAGAGGAACTCCCTTGGTGTTTTACCCTACGATACTGGTAAGTTACAAGTACTTTACTCGTGGTACATTAATTACTCTATCGTACTATTATGGAAACGAGGAGGGATGAGGAGAGACTGCCTCAGCTCAATTATGGTGACACCCTCAAGCAAGCCGCTTACCGCGCATCTCTCCAAACGAAACTTTCTTTTCCCTCTCACCACTCATCAAAAAAAAAAAAAAAAAAAAAAAAGGCGATCAAGCCCATAATAAGCTTCACACCAGGTACTGTACTGTACCGCACTCAAGCGCACGGTACTGCACTGTACCTGCAGATGGCCGCGATAGCAATTCTACAGTTCACTCTTGGCAACATCGCTTGACTGTACGAGCATACCAAAACCCTATCAATGGTCTATCTGAGTTCGTGAGTTCGTGAGTATGAGGAATAGAAAAGGAGATGATAATTTTGGATGCCAGGCGGTATGAGTGTGATACTGCTGTACCCCACTTACATACTGAGTACGAGTACATCATAATAGTACGAGCACCAGTACTATACGTCTTATCACAGGGGATATGTTTGAGTACAAGTATACCGAAGGGTAAAATTGTCTCATAAATACTCGTACTGTACAGTACCAGTACACTGAACGAGTGGAGTAGGCTTTAGTGCTCTACTGTGGTCGAGTCGTCGCATACGCCCACTTCCATGCCAAGATATTTTGCTTGTCAAGACTTGGGTAAGTGGATATTGGGTAAATAAACCATGTGAGGACTCGGCGAGGCGACACCCTCAGCGAGGCGTGGCAAAACTTGGCATTCTTGGTATTGGTGACTAGTTAGTAAAGTGAACAACATCACCGAAACCACAGTAAAGCTGATGAAACACAAACTTTTATTGATTCCATACCAATCACTTTAATCATGCCTCCAATTCTCATACAAGTTCAAGAGCAAATGGCCATTGAGATGGCTGCTACTGGAATAGCCCCACGTTTGACCATCGCAGTAGCCATGGTGGGGTTGGTGCTGAGTACAGTAATGCAATAGTGGCAAGGATGGAAAAACTATAACAAGGAGTCAACGAAGAGAGAAGTTAATTCCCAAAGAGGAGTGAATAGTAGAAGATCAATGTTACTTTCACTGGCATCTTGGATTCCCTCTTACAATATGGCAATTGTGTGAAATTGCCACTTACATTGTTCAAAATTGAAACCCTAGCAGGGGTTTAAAAAGCGACATAGAGAGGTGAAATCAAATTTATCAAATAATTGGATTTCAATCACAATATTTGTAGAAATGATATACAGTTAATGAATAGTTTTTTTAATAAAATACTTTGATGTAACGATCCCTCTCTGGATAGTTAGTTCTTGGCGATGGGGAACGATACTTCTCTTTCTGTCTTCTTCTTTCTTTATCTTATGATAGCTCTAGGCCTCTGCCTACATTACCGATAGTACAAGACCTTTGTCTTCTATCGGGAACGTCTATAGTAAGCTTTCTCTAACTCGTCTTCATGAAGGACTTTTCTGGGCGTAACAATAACGGTGCAATAAGGGTAAAGATCGTAAAGATGTTTTATATTCGTTAAAGTAATAAGTAGGAAAAGTACTTAGAACAAAGCGTGAAGAACCTATCTTGCTCGGCCGGCTCGGCCTCCTTATATAGTATTCTTCCCACCCCTAGTCATGTGGCTTAAAGTGGTCACATGTGCGAAACCAAATCATAACAAACTAGTCATGTGACCAAAGTGATCACATGCTCAAAACCCATGACCTCGTAACGAGATTATGTGTAAAAACTTATAAACCAATCATAACGCAATAAACAAGTCATATGACTCGACTGAGTCATATGCGCGAAACCCATGACCTCATAACGAGGTCATGTGCGAAACATAAATTATATGCGCAAGGCTTACCCGCAAGGCACACTCGCAAGGCATATTCACCAGGCGCACGTCCCATAACTCATACTTGAGCTATGTGCGAAAGCATTACAAATCCCACACATAACAAATCATATAACCCGAATGGGTCATATGCGTAAAACAATAACATACCTGTGACTCATAACCATGTGTCATGTGAAAACTTTTTCCATGCCAAGCCACGTTCGTGACATTTGAATTCTGTTTTTGTATTATTATTATTATTATTTTTAATATTCAACATTAATGTTTATATTTAATAACTGTAATTTAAATAAACACTAATTATATATTATAATAGTATATAGCTAGAGACTATTAATAATGAGTATAATATTCAACCTCAGAATATATATAATATTGATGATGTTAAGTTTCTACTTGGTTTGAGTCAATCAGAGCAGGTATTTGAAGTAATAAGAGATTTAAGGGAAAATAGGAAATTGAAGTATTGTGCACAGAGTTTGTTTCTCAATTTCTAAATATCATAAAATTAATAATTAATGAAATTACTTACAATAAAATAGATAGTACATGAGAATTTATAATAGTGATTAAAGGAATTTGTGGTGATAGAACAGTTTTAAATTCAACAACTGTTTTGAAGGCGGAGAAGTTTATTGCACAATAGTTTATGAAAAAGAAAGGCATTTCAGAGGATATCTTGTTTAGACCCTCATAAAATGTTTGGACTGACGAGATTATTGCTAAGGAGTTGTTACAGATGCGATACAATTTCACATATGACTCAATTATGAGTCAATGGATCTCATGCATTTGACTCACCCAAATCATATGACTTGTTCATATTATGATTTGTTATGTTTCGCACATGACTCAATTATGAGTCATGGGTCATGCACATATGACTCACTCGAGTTATATGACTTATTTAAGTTACGATTTGTTATGTTTCACACTTGACTTAATTATGAGTCATGAGTCTTGCACATATGACTCACTCGAGTTACATGACTTATTTATGTTATGATTTATTTCTATAGTTATTTATTTTACAATTTAGTGGTATGTTTTAAACATAATAACTAGTAGAATAAATACATCTATATTTGAGCCTGTTTTAGTAGAAAACCCACTCTCGGGCCACAACTACAAATAATTTATTTAAGCTTAGCCAACTAGCTAGACATCTAGAGTATATATTCAGTAGCTCAGAAAATATTATTTGTCATCTAATGACCTCTGTAGCACATTTTATACAGGAAAAACTGAAATTTTGAGATTTTCACTTTTTGCCATATAAAATAAGTTTTGCTCTCTGGGATTCTTGTGGTCAAAGAATTATTACAAAAAGTTTATTCCTTGCAGCACTATTTCTGTTTCATGTTAGTTGCTTATATTTTCAATAATTGTATTTCTAATGCTACTGTTTCATGCAACTAATAGATTGTGCTTATATAATATGAGTAATATGATATGATAGATATAGTATTAGTTAAACTACAGTGAAAATGTAATAAAAGATAGATATATTTACTATGAGTATTAACTTAATTGTCATGAACGTGGCTTAGCGAGGAAAGGGTTTTTCACGTGATACATGGTTATGAGTCACAGGTATGTTATTGTTTCACACATATGACCTATTCGGGTTATATGATTAGTTATGTGTGGGATTTGTGATGCTTTCGCACATAGCTCAAGTATGAGTCATGGGATATGCGTCTGACGAGTATGCCTTACGAGTGTGCCTTACGGGCAAGCCTTGCGCATATGATTTATGTTTTGCACATGACCTCATTATGATGTCATGGGTTTCGTGCATATGACTCAGTCGAGTCATATGACTAGTTTATTGCGTTATGATTGGTTTATGAGTTTCGCACATGACCTCGCTATGAGGTCATGTGTTTTGAGCATGTGATCACTTTGGTCATATGATTAGTTTGTTATGATATAGTTTCGCACATGTGACCACTTTAGGTCACATGACTAAAGGCGGGAAGAATACTATATAAGGATGCCGATGCTGCCGAGGAAGATAGGTTCTTCACGCTTTGTTCTAAGTACTTTTCCTACTTATTACTTTAACGAATATAAAACACCCTTAAGATCTTTACCTTTATTGCAACGTTATCGTTACTCCAAGGAAGGAGCTTTACGAAAAAGAGTTAGAGAAACCTTACGATAGGGGTTCCCGGTAGAAGACAAGGGTCTTGTATTATCGGTAACGTAGGCAGAAGCCTAGAGCTATCGTAAGACAAAGAGAAGAAGAAAGACAGGAAGAGAAGTATCGTTCCCCGTCGCCAAGCACTAACTATTCAAAGAGGAATCGTTATATTACAAAGCGTCACCTAGTGCGAAGTTAAACGATACAAGACGGCATCCTTCAACCCAGACTGGGAAGGAGATATTGACATCGATGATCAAAATCTTAATCTAGGAGGATTCAGCAACGCCCGAGATCACGTCTCAGCAGAACACACGAGAGCAGCAAGCCCAGTAACCCCAGAGATAGGATCACCAGTCGATAGCTCTCCTGCTGGAACGCCACGACCTGAGAGAATGTCGGGATCCGCAGTACCTGGGCCACCGGCCCCAGCCGCTCCGGTACCAGGAACCAGCATCCTTGGAATGACTGAAAATCAGTTTCAGCCATTTCTTGCAGCCATGCGAAATACAGGGCAAGGAAATGTCCAATGACCAAAAGCAAAGGAGCCCGACACATACGAAGGAGCCGAAGATCAGCTACGAATATTCTTAGCGCAATGCGAGGGATATTTTGCAGTTAAGGAATATGGAGATCACCATGATGAAATT